GACCAGGCTGTCTATGACACATTTTACGATTATCAAGTGGGAAATGGATTACTATATTTTGCAGGTAGTCAATGGTAGCAAGGTCAGGTTTGGGAAATGTTTTAAGCAACCTATTTCGTTCAGCCATACCTTTTCTGAAAAAGGGGGCATTAGCTTTAGGAAAACAGACACTTAAATGAGGTGTAAATTTAGCATCAGATGTCATACAAGAAAAATGTTTTGTCAATGCTGGAAAAATGACGAGCATTACAAGGAGCTCAGAATTTGGCTAGAGAAGCTCAACATAATAAAAAAAGAAACAGAAAGGTCCAGTGTTCAGAATATCTAAAGCTAAGAGACGAAGAACATCGACTTAGACTTTTTCAACAAGTAATCATGACTCTCCCACCACATGAAAAGTCCTGTCAGTGTACAAAGTCTGAGCTAGACTTATTTTCGACTTGAATGGGTAATGAAGAAAAACTTTAATATAAGTTTAACATAACAGCAAATGTACAACGTTTCGACAAGGTTTTGTCATCGTCATCATTTCTCTCCCTCCCACACAAACAGTAATTGAGGAAGGTCAGTGGACTGAATATTATCCTGAATGTTATTATATCGGTATTAGGAGATGAATATTTAGATCCAGCACAATCGCATCTTCATGTCAAGGCAAAGAAGATTGTCAAGCCTGATGGTATCAATATAAAAAAGGATGAAGATACATCTGTACCTGTAAACTTATTACTTCATTCTCTGTTTTCTCATGTAGATGTACACCTTAATGATAAATTCATTTCTTCCTCTCACAACCTTTTCGCCTATAAGGCCTACATAGAAACTTTACCAAGTTATAATGGTGAAGCTAAGAGAGGTCATTTGACATTGTCCATTTGGATAAAAGACACAGCAAGCAATTTTGTTGATCTCAAACTTAATGATGGCGAAAACAATGGAATCAACGATCGACACGTAAATACACGTGGTAGTCAAATAGTCGACATGATCGGTTGTTTAGAATCATATATCTTTTTCAGAACAAGTTCATGGTGTAAGTTTAAAACTCTGACTCATATTAAGTAAAGATTCGTTTTGTATTATGTCAAATGATGAATCGGGATTCAAAATTGAACTACAACATGTTTCTATCTAAGCTAGAAAAGTCAAGATCAACCCGTCAGTCGTTCTGACACATGCTAAAGCATTTCAGAAAGGAACAGCTAAATACCCTTTGATATATATAGTGTGTAAATCGTTTTTAATTTCCCAGGAAAACTTACAAGCATATATTGATAATTCTTTTTAGGTCAAATACCTACGTCTTGTTATAAGATGTATTGATAACGGTGCATTTAATAGGTCTTGGAAGGAAAATCCATACAATTTCAAACATTACAATATCAGTTTCTTGGCAATCAACGTGGATGGTAAACAAATTCCCACTTGACCTTTACAGCCAGATTTTGAAACTGAGCTGTATGAAAGAAGCTATGAAACATTATTTAGTGGAACTGGAAAACAATTTCAAGATCAAGGAATTGATATAGGATATGATTAATACTCGGGAGGATAAACACTCTGCCTTTGATCTTACATTGGATTTATCTGCTGGAGATTCACACTTTAACTTGGTTAAACAGGGAAATTTACGAATTGAAATACGTTTTGGTAGTGCTTTACCTAACACTATACATGTTCTCGCCTATGAAGAGTTTCAGTAAATTTTAGAAATCGATCAGTCTAGAAACATCATAACAGATATTTAAGAATATATGAATACGTTAGAAATATGTTCAATACTCTCACAGGATTTGTGTACGAGAAGAAAGTCTGGAGGTATTTTTGCCAGTAATTAACTACCAGACCATGCAGAAAATGAATTATACATCGTCAACCTAGATCCTACTCATAAATCTGGCAGTCACTGGGTCTGTATTTATTTTGGTCGAAATGAAAAAGAATATTTTGATTCATTAGGACTACCTTCACATAATCTGAACATTAGAAAATTCATCAAGAAAAATTGTTGAACGTGGACTTACAATCAACAAGTACTGCAAGGACCATATTCATCTGACAATATTGTATATATTATGTTTATTATCATTATCAGCATGTGTCAAAACGAAAACTCCAATCTAAATTTGGATCCACCAAAATAGTAATGATATGTTTGTTCATGATTTTGTTGTAAAACGTTTTCATGTAAATACATCATTAATAGGTGTGCCTTTTTATGTAGAACAGATTACAAAATCGTTATTTTGTAATAACGAGAAAATAAATTATTTAAAGGAATTGTGTCTAGGCTTTTTATGATAATGAGTTTACTGAAATCTTTAATCACTTGAGTAAGTTTTAATTAAGATATAATCCTTTTTAGGACGGTTAAATTAAATATAATCATGTTGAGACACGTTTTTGTATGAGTCATCCTGTAATTTGTGGTAATATTACTTAATCATTCAATATGGCGGCCTAGCAACACGCCTCCTGGTAGCAAAATTTGGAACTATGAACTCGTTATCGAAGATGACGATATACATGAAGCGCCATCTGGCGACAATCTATGACTACATAGCTATCTAGGAACGCGCCCCTGGTGGTAAGACTTAGTACTATCACCTCGTCATCTTTGATGACATTTCTTTCCCCCTTCGATACACATGTGGCGCCCTAGGGGGCGTACCTGTCAAGTGAGGGACTTACTACTGATAAGGTTTGTCTGGAAAAGTTACTTACTTACATCTTTACTTTAAAATTTGTTCAAATACTGAAATTTGATTCACTCTATAAACACATGAATAGCGATTTAGTCTGCTCTGTAAGTATAATCAGCTTTAGTTTTTTCAGCCAATACTGTGAAGTAGTCATTGTTAATGTTCAGGCATTTTAAAAATGGTTTTAAATGGGCAAGTTTTATGGCCGTCATTTTGTTTCATGACGATCCCTACTAGTAGACTACTGGCTACTAACTTTCTTAGTAGGCAATGCAAGTGTGAGGGCAAAATCATTTGTGAATTGAAAAGAATGATAGAGAACTTATCTTTTAATGAATTTCTGATTTTATTTTCATAAATAGTAGCATAACATTCAATTATTTGTACAAAATTGTATTCCTTAATGAAGTTTAAAGAGGAATTTAATGAAAAATTCCTAAAATACGTTTTAGAGTGTAAA